ACAGATTACGACTGAACCAAACAATCACCCAGAGACCAGCCCTCTCCTCCCTACTACACAGAGTAGGACTGAACCAAACAGTCACCCGAGGACCAGCCCTCTCCTACTACCTACACAGAGTATGCCCTGAACCAACACAGTCACCCAGAGACCAGCCCTCTCCTCCTACCTACACAGAGTACGACTGAACCAAACAGTCACCCAGAGACCAGCCCTCTCCTCCACCTACACAGAGTACGACTGAACCAAACAGTCACCCAGAGACCAGCCCTCTCCTCCACCTACACAGAGTACGACTGAACCAATGTGCATCCGTGGTCCCTGGGTCATGGCCTGTTCACAACAGAGGTTACAGAGGCAACGCACGCACGCACACACACACACGCACACACGCACACTCAATGAACATCAACATTTAAAGTGTAATCTGGAGATTCACTGTAATGTTGTTAAATGAAGAACTTGAACTCCTTGATCCTCGACTGTCAAAATATATAAAAAATATTCATCATATTTACAGATGGCAGGCTAGGTCCCAAATGGCACCCTATTCTCCACATAGTGCCCTATGGGCCCTGGTCAACAGTAGTACACTACATAGGGAATAGGGGTCCATTTTGGGGCACGACTCGTGAATGGCTAATGAAGGGTAGTATTGTCTAACCCTGTCTAATATGTCATCAGATCAACATTTCATGTGGATAGAGGCGGTTGCTTTTCCTTCTCTCTGGAAGTTTCTGGTTGCCAGCATCGTGCAGCTGCAAGAGGCAAAGCCTTTAAAAAGCCACTAAACGAGTGGAGTATCAATTTGTCATTTTCCGGGAGGATTTTCTCCAAATGCCATCACATGTTGACAAAGATAAGAGCCATTACTACCCAAGAGCCCAGACTCAGAGAGCCTCTCCTCTCCTCTGCCCTTCATCGGACTTGGCATGGCACAGACAGAGACCTATGAGCCATGCCATGCCTCATTCACGGCAGAAAGAGAGACCAGAAGGGCACATTAATTCCACTCTGCTAATACTTTTTTTTTTTTTTTTTTTTTTTTAAACAAGGGGGGAAGATTGAAAACGGGGAGAGAAAAGTGTTGAATATATTTTTGGTCTCCAGCCTTTTCTGCTCTATCCTCATCACAGTTTTGTTTGGGTCAGCACATCAGTTTTGTTTGGGTCAGCACATCAGTGGTGTGTCAAAATTAGCTAGCTAACATTAGCCTTCTACATCTAGCTACATATTGATCTTCCATCCTCTCAGGCCAGGGGGCACAACAATGTATGAATTAATGGTTGGATCAGAATCACCGTTATAATCATTGGCCAGTACGGAGAATTAAGTAAAACCACAAGTCCAAATCCCCATCTCCATCCATGGCTAATTTAGGAAAGGGCCATTTTAGCTAGCTTGCTAGCTAGCCACCGGAGGACAACAACACAACGACATGCAACAATTCAAGTTTTTCTGTCAATGACGTATGCTCTCAATGGGATTTGATAAGAGTGACGCCAAATCCAAACTGGCTTCCTTCTACACTTTTTTTGGGTGCGCCAGGACCATTCACAGTTGAGCTCGCTCAGTTCAGCTCAACGCTGATTGGCTAATTTTGTATACTTTTATTGCCATGGGAGGCCCGATGCTCGCTGGCTTCCCTTGCCTTCAATGCTACGGGCGGCAACAATGTCATCCTCGTTTGGACCAGACATACTCAGATAGATGGCCTACACGTAGTGAGACAGAGGGGCGCTGTTTCGCTCGCTCTGATGCTTTTTCCTGTGAGATACATTCAGCCTCTTGCGAATTGAAGGCCCATGACCGGTCTTTCAATAACCCACGAGAGAATGCGCTTTTCAGATCAGATCAGATCAGAGCGCAGAGTCACGCGTGTTCACATTTGCACATTTGTTGATATTCGTTGCCAGCAGGCCTCTCTCATACCACTACCCCATGCCAACAGCCCCCGGGCCTGAGAATGCAGGCTTAGACAACCCCTCCCTACAAACCCATGAGAATGCTTAGCTACTTGCTGTCCATCACGGAGGTTACAAGGTCCTCTGTTCTGAGCCCAGTGTATCGGCAGATGTTATCCACTAATGTCTCCATGAGACGGCTACAGATCAGACTGTGGATACAAGGAGATATCTGTGGAAAGAGTGAAGGAAAGTGAGGACAATAATGGAATACAATAACTCAATACTTTTTTGGGATCAGACTTTTAATTTGACTTTTAAGTTCACATAAATAACATTACTTCATATATTTTTGTATATTATGCAATTTTATATAATATATATTTCCCCCCCCGATGATTTACATAATTTTCTTTCTACAAGTCAAGTTATCTATTGAAACAGAAGCGTTATGTTGATGTTGTTGTACTGAACACACAGCTGTTGTTCCAAATATCAAAGGAGAGAAGTAGAGAATCTATTTCTAGAGTTGTAAAAAATAATTCCTTGAGAAACACAACAGAAATGCAAAATTATGATCTATTCCACCATGTCTAGAAGGTGCTGTAACCCAACTACAAAGAGAGTCAATTATTCTCAGTATGTTTATTGACCAGTAGTAGTAGCACAAAGCACAGCAAAAACCACCTGAATGATATGCATGAACACAGACGTCTCAATAAAGTTGTATATTTCAAATGGACATTTTGTGATGAATCTGTTTCTATAAAACTTTCATGAGACACACAAGACCGTATGGACCAAGTAGATCAGAGACCCCATTGTCATGCATGCGGTAGGTGACCCAGTCAAACGCACTTCTTGTACAAATGAATTGAGCTTGTCAGTTCAGCTCAGAAATCAACAGCCAGCTTCCACCTCTGTTTTCTTCACCTTGATCAGCTTTCTGAGAATTAAAGAAATGTGACATTCACAAATGTGCTGCTAGACTAAAGACAAAAGTCCTCTTTATCCAGCATTGTGACCACTGTATTACCCCTTAATAACGGCATATAACTGATGTTATGTCTTATGTAGCTGCTATGAAGGCTTTATGAATGCATACATAAGGGGTCTACAGTGAAGTGTTACCACACGTTATAATCAAAGCGTGTGTTATTTAAAAGACCTCTGATTAGGAGGACTCCAGTATTCAGCTAGCTCTTTAAACAGAAGACCCTGCTCATCTGACTGAACCGGTGTTGTCTTGGGTCTAAAATGGCACTCAGGACTCGACGGCAGTTAGTTACAGATCCATTCGTCCGTCCGTCCGTCCGTCCGTCCGTCCACCTGTCTGTCTGTCCGTCCGTCCGTCCGCCCGCCCGCCCGTCTCTGTCTGTCTGTCTGTCTGTCTGTCTGTCTGTCTGTCTGTCTGTCTGTCTGTCTGTGTCTGTCTGTCCGTCCGCCTGTCTGTCCGTCTGTCTGTCCGTCCGTCTGTCTGCCTGTCCGTCCGCCTGTCTGTCTGTCTGTCCGCCTGTCTGTCCGTCCGTCTGTCTGTCTGTCTGTCTGTCTGTCTCCAACTCTCACTGTGCCAAGGATAAATCTGCCAGATGGGTAGTTTGTGCTTTCAATAAAAAATAAAAAATAAACAGGTAATATGACATTCAGGATGGAAAACTAAGGCTCCGTTCCAAATGGTACTGTATTACCTACACTGTGCACTATTTTTGACTTTCAGAAGTAGTGCACTATATTGGGAATAGGGTACCATTTGGAACGCACCCTAAATCCACTGATGTGTGGAGTGAGATTGAACCACCGACCATCAGGACGGCGGCATTATCAGTAGTATGAGTCTGTCTGTTCCCAATATCTTCACTACTACGTTTCATTCAATGTAAAAAATAAAGCATCCATTCGTTTTCAGTAAGTTAACAGTTTTAGTATCTCAAGTATTACGTTATGCTAGTTCAGCGTTTTCCCTGCTACAACACTCCTTCTTTATGTTTTTCTGCCTGCATGATAATATACTATTCATTGTCTTGATCAGACCCACTATGTATTCAATCCCTGAATATCAAATCAGAGGAAAATCATATTTATAATCCACACCACCAACCCATAAAAAGCAGGCGCAAATAAATAATAAATATCTGATTATGTAACGCTTTACTTTTTAATGAAGATGTCATAGATTTGCAATGGTCTTCTCTTCTCTGCGGAATCTGGAACCATATTTTGTGAAATGTTTAATATGTGATTTTCTTGAATACAAATCTGATGATTTCTATGATAGATAGAATATTGGGATGGTAAACGTGGTAAGAAAGTAACAGGTCTACATTGTCTTGGGGACTTTATACAAAGGAACGGACAATAATAACACACCACTCTGTGGAGTAGGTAAACCTCGACCAGTGATTGGATGTGAGGGGAGGTGGTGGAGCTCCGTGTTGACTGTGAGGGATTCTATTGGTCAGGAGTCAGGAAGTGCCTCATGATAACCTGGAAGTGAACCAGTGAAGGGTTAATGAGATAGAGTGTATATAATGACCTGTGAACCAGAAGGGTTAAGTGGGATCCCATAATGCAACATGCTTTTTGACAAAACAGAACCAAACAAAACATGAAGTGTGAACCAATCACAGAGGAAATACATATCATGCTATGACATCAAAAACCGATAGCAAATCAAATGTTTTAACCCTCTCCTCCCTCCCTGAATATTCAACTTTGTGAACTTATTTTCTCCGTCAGTTTTTTTAAATGTTAAGAATCGCATAAACATCATAATCATATCCCTTTTCTATACAATATAAATTCACAATGCTATCTAGAGGAAGAACAATCCTGTCCAAATTCATTTTCTGTCTTTTTTTTACACACTGGGGAAATAAAGGTCAATCTAAAAAGCAAACCAACTTATTATTCATAAATAATTAACGTTTTCCTCTAATCAATCATGATCAATAAAGTTTCTTATAATACAAGACTAGTAGTCACATAATGCAAGTCAAGCTTTTGTGATGATTTGTAAATATAATAAACAACAACACACATCCTCACACTGAGAGAAGTAGTAGGCAATGTAACTGAAACCCATCCGTGAGGAGAAGAGAGGAGAGCTGGGTAAAATGAGGATGAGGAGGAAGTAGGAAGCAGAGGATGTGGAAGATTCAACCCCATTGGCCCACAAACCCAGGAAGTAAGTGAGAGCAGCTCAGCCCAGTCGAGTGAGTCCAGTCCAAGCCCTCGTCGGTCTCCGTGACAACGACCACAATCCCAGCCGTCTCCGTGACAACAGGCCCGAGTCACAACCCCCAGTCCCCGGTCTCAGTGACAGCCCTTCATACCCGACACGTAGGGTGAATCCTGCTGGCGACACAGGGTCGTCATCCCCTCCTGGTGTTCCTCAGGGCAGTCCACAAAGTCCGGCACCGGAAGCCCCGACAGGATCATCACTGACTTGTTCCAGATCATGAAGGTGGGCGCCACGGGGAGCAGGAAGCTGACCTCGAAGGTGTGCAGGTGTTGGGAGTTCATGGCGTCGTAGAAGGACAGGGAGTTGTTGTCGTAGTCCAGAAGGACACCCAGACGCCTGAGCTGGTGGCTGGCCTCCACCAGCATCTCCTTGCCATTGTGACGCACCATGAAGTTGTTGTTACAGCGGGAGAACACCCAGGAGGAGGAGTTCTTTCCACTCCACTCATTCTTAGGGGCTGACTTGTAGGCCACGCCCACAGCGTACCTGTCAGAGGAGATGACAGAGTGTTAAGGAAGGGCCAAATCATTGACTGTGGTTTGGAATGTTCAGAGAAAACTAGTGCATAAGTATTGCAAGTCTTTTGTCACTATTGTAGAGAAGAAATCAAAAGGGTAGAAAATACGACATGTACATATTTTGTATGGATAAAGCTTATTCCACTCCTATAGTGGATGTTATACGATCGATGGAGGTACAATAAAGCGGTGAACAGTGAACAGTATTATCAATATCACAACTCACCAGGTGGAGGCGCCCAGCAACACCTCCCAGTAGTGGCAGCCGCTGTCGATGAAGACGTTTCCTGCTGCTCCGTACGACCCCGTGCTGCTGAAGCGCTCTGGAGTGTGGCTCTTCTTCAGGGAGCTCTCGTCCTTCTCCATGGTCAGGCAGTCGTTGGACAGACGCAGCTTCTTGTGGGCCGTCTTTGGGTCAAGCTTAAAAGGCTGGCCTGGAAGAGAGGTGGAGAGAGAGAGGGGAGCCGTTTAGCTTCACAGAGGTTCTCTAGGTCTGGTACACATTACCATTCCCACATCAGCAGCAGAAAGACAGGCGGACACTCAGCCTCAGGTCAAGTGTCTCAGATGAACATCAGAAATAGAGTATTGTGAATAATGCTGTGAGTTTTATGACAGGGAACATAACATTTACATCTATAACAACATCACTTGCAAAATCTCAATTTGGAAGTCATCATTTGAGAAAGTGGAAAAACAGAAAGAAAGAGAGAATTGGGGATGAAACGGGTATAAAAGGAGGTTGCCCTTGGCCCTTGACATTTTACACCTCCAACCTCCTTTTCCTCTGTCCCCCCTTCTCCTCCTCTTCTTCCAGGGCTTAATGAGCAACAATGGAGCTCCCTCCATCCCCTCCTCGCTCTCTCCTTCCTGCCTGCTCAATAATCTCCCTCCCGAGTGTGTGTGTGTGTTACTGCACACGGATATGAGACGCTTTGGCAGTGTGCTTCTGGAAGCCAATTACATGAATAGGCTCTCTGCTTTGATCTGCTTATCTCTGAGAGCGCAGCCATTTTCAAACACACACTAGGCTCTGTCACACATTTCCTGGGGAACTGCTCCTGAGAGTGGTCCGGCTGGTTGGCTGGCTGGCTGGCTGGCTGGCTGGCTGGCTGGCTGAGTGAGGAGAGGAGGGGACTGAAGCTGCTGCACGTGACGGGCAACAGAGGACAAGCACATACTACAGGTGGGTACACTGACGCACACGCGTGGCGATCAACCAACCAGAACAGTAAAATCCCAAACACACGCACAGCATCCCTCTCATTACCAGGGTGTTCCTACACCCACAGACAGCGCTGTAAATCACAGGGCCGTGGTGTCACCCTTAATGTCATCACCACCTCATTACAAGGGTTCCATCCTGTTACCACGGAGACCACGTCGGCAACCCAAATGTCACCCTATTCCCTACATAGTGCACTACTTTAGAACCCTATGGGCCCTGGACAAAAGCAGTGCACTATATAGGGAATAGGGTGCCATTTGGGACCAGAGAGGTGTCAGCCAATAGGGCTTCCCTCTGCAGGATAAATACTATTTGAGCTACAGAGATGGGATTTTTTCACAACTAGGATTAGACATTTCTTCTTCCCAATAATACATTATAAATGACAGATGTGTAATTCACTGATGCTCACAGTTCTATTAGTGTCTGTGTATTGTTGAGGCACTGTGGAGTTGGAATGAAAGCCTGAGCAATGTGTTTCTGTGTCAGCTGTGTACCCGTTCTGAGTGGGGTTCTGTATGTGTATCTAAAGAGCTGTAGCTATCGGAGGAAGGGAAATGATGGAAATGCATTTCAAATGCACACACACTTTATGAGTGCAGTGTTTGGGATTATGCGCTGGAGTAAACCTATCAGAGGAGGGCTGACACTATCACACTCCCTGCTACAGGAGAGAGAGATGGAGAGAGAGAGAGAGACCTGGACTAGATGACAGCTCCACCCTCGGGACACACAGACAGAGAGATGGACAGATGGCATGATGAGAAGGAGGAGAAAGGGAGAGTGGTGTGAGATTATGTGCCACGGGCTGCAGGCTGAGGGTCAGAGAGACAAGCAGAAAGCACAAGGACACTGCCCCAGAGAACAAGGCCTACCAGACCAGGGCAACCTTCTGAAACGCATCCCTCAACCCCCACCTCCACCCTCCATCTCCTCCTCCCCCTCCTCCTCCTCCCCCCCATGTACAGTATACCCATCCAGAGTACATTATTCATGTTCCAATTTATTTCACAGTGGTATTTCTGGTATTTCTAGTGGAGGTAGTTTTGGGTTTAACGTTACATGTCACTGTTATTTGTGAAACGTGTTACAACGCTGAAATGTGACAAGCTAAAGCTAAAATCTCCAAGCCGCTTCTCGCCGTCCGAAAAATACGACAACCAAAAATCCTCCTATCTTACCGCAAAGGCTTCAGGCTTTGACTAAAACTTATCCTGTGGTACTTAAAAGCTTTGGCGCTTCGTCTCAATGGCTGCTCGCTGTGTGCTTGATGAGAGGGACCAACCATACACGTCCAACCATTCACCATGAATGTTTTTGGATTGTTGTTTTTTGTTGTGACCCATTTTCTCTCTACCTCTACGTGTTAGAGAAGAGCTTTTTCTGTGTATACTAATTCCAGAGAAAAAGGTCCAGTTGCCAGGACCACAAATACAAATTCCATCTAGACACAGTTGCCCTAGAGCACACAAACAACTATACATACAGTGTTTGGAGCGTAGCTGTGGTTGGGAGAGGTTGTGTTTTCTCTAGCAGGAGGTAAGCTTGGCTTCTTATATGGTGTTGAGTAAAGCTTAAACCATGTATTTAGATTGTAGGTAGGTAGTTGTAGTTAGGTATTGTAGGTAGTTTATTTAGGTAGTTATTTAGGTAGTTATTGTAGGTTTCTGTAGGTAATTATTGTAGGTAAGTATTGTTTACGGCGGAGCCCGGCGAAGCACGAGGCTAGCTAGCTAGCGGGTAGCTACTGGTAACGTTTAGCAACGGTGGAGAGTTGTTTCCAATGTTATTTCACGCTTAAGAGTACCTGTAATTAAGCCAGCTGGCTACCTACCATTCAGCCGTTTTTCTAACCTCATTATCTGAGCCATCAACGTTAGGTAGTTAGTAGCTACTGTACTTAATTACACCTACTGATTGCAGAAGACAAATGTCAGCTGGCGTCGGGTAAGTTTGGCTTTATACATAGCTTGGGCTTTGTCGAGTAAGGCTTAATTATGTATTTAGATTGTAGTTAGGTATTGTAGGTAGGCCCGCAGCACGAAGCTAGCTAGCTAGCCGTTTTTCAAACAAAGTCAACACAGTAGCCATTGCTAGCTAGCCAACACGACCAGCTAACTGTACTGTAGCAGCTAAATACAATATATTTGTGCTAGCTAGCCAACGTTTAATTTTTGCTGCGTTATGAAAGGAACTAGACACGGACACGAATTATCTGTTTAGTGTGTTAACACACTATTGGTAGTTTGTTGTAACCAAGTATTGGTGCTAAACTGTGTGTTATTGGATGCTAGCATGCTAGTTAGCTATGGTGTCATAGTTAGGCATCGTGGGCTGTTGTGGGTAGTTATTGTAGGTTAGCATTGTTTTCGGCGGTGCCGGGTGTAGCACGAAGCTAGCTAGCTAGCCGTTTTTCAAACAAAGTCAACACAGTAGCCATTGCTAGCTAGCCAACACGACCAGCTAACTGTACTGTAGCAGCTAAATACAATATATTTGTGCTAGCTAGCCAACATTTAATTATTGCTGCGTTATGAAAGGAACTAGACACGGACACGAATTATCTGTTTAGTGTGTTAACACACTATTGGTAGTTTGTTGTAACCAAGTATTGGTGCTAAACTGTGTGTTATTGGATGCTAGCATGCTAGTTAGCTATGGTGTCATAGTTAGCTAGCTGAATAAAGTAAGTTGAGTCTATTCCTTGAAACATTGAACCGCTGTAGTTCACAACAATTCTAATTTCTAAAAGTGGAAGTTGGGAGAGTTTTTGTTCGGGTGGTTCAGTGAAACAATTATAGTTTCTGAGGTGGAAGTTTTGGTGAGGGAGGCCCTACTCTCTCCTTTCCCAGATGTTTAGTTCATTTCATTCCGATCTCCTCTGCATTATTGTAGCCATTTGCTACAGCCTGTCAACTATGCCTCTGCCTATCCCTGTTCTCTCCTCTCCGCACAGGCTACACAAACGCCTCACAACCGCGTGGCTGCTGTCTCTCTAACCTGGTGGTCCCTGCACGCACCCCACACCTGGAGTTCCAGGTCTCAGGCAGCCTCTGGAACTGCCGTTCTGCTGCCAACAAAGCTGACTTCATCCCAGCCTATGCTAACCTCCAGTCCCTCGACTTCCTGGCGCTGACGGAAACATGGATTACCACTGAAAACACTGCTACTCCTACTGCTCTCTCCTCGTCTGACCATGTGTTCTCGCATACCCCGAGAGCATCTGGTCAGAGGGGTGGTGGCACAGGAATCCTCATCTCTCCCAAGTGGACATTCTCAATTTTTCCCCTAACCCATCTGTCTATCTCCTCATTTGAATTCCATGCTGTCACAGTCACTAGCCCATTTAAGCTTAATATCCTTGTCATCTATCGCCCTCCAGGTTCCCTTGGAGAGTTCATCAATGAGCTTGACGCCTTGATAAGTTCCTTTCCTGAGGATGGCTCACCCCTCACAGTTTTGGGGGATTTCAACCTCCCTACGTCTACATTTGACTCATTTCTCTCTGCCTCCTTCTTTCCACTCCTCTCCTCTTTTGACCTCACCCTCTCACCGTCCCCCCCTACTCACAAGGCAGGCAATACGCTTGACCTCATCTTTACTAGATGCTGCTCTTCTACTAATCTCACTGCAACTCCCCTCCATGTCTCCGACCACTACTTTGTTTCCTTTTCTCTCTCGCTCTCCTCCAACACTACTCACTCTGCCCCTACACAGATGGTAATGCGCCGCCGCAACCTTCGCTCTCTCTCTCCCACTACTCTCTCCTCTTCCATCCTATCATCTCTTCCCTCTGCTCAATCCTTCTCCCTCCAATCTCCTGATTCTGCCTCCTCAACCCTCCTCTCCTCCCTTTCTGCATCCTTTGACTCTCTGTGTCCCCTATCCTCCCGGCCGGCTCGGTCCTCCCCTCCAGCTCCGTGGCTTGATGACTCATTGCGAGCTCACAGAACAGAGCTCCGGGCAGCGGAGCGGAAATGGAAGAAAACTAAACTCCCTGCCGACCTGGCATCTTTTCACTCCCTCCTCTCTACATTTTCTTCATCTGTTTCTGCTGCTAAGGCCACTTTCTACCACTCTAAATTCCAAGCATCTGCCTCTAACCCTAGGAAGCTCTTTGCCACATTCTCCTCCCTGCTGAATCCCCCCCCCCCCCCTCCTCTCTCTCTGTGGATGACTTCGTCAACCACTTTGAAAAGAAGGTTGACGACATCCGATCCTCGTTTGTTAAGTCTAATGACACTGCTGGTCCTACTCACACTGCCCTACCCTATGCTTTGACTTCTTTCTCCCCTCTCTCTCCAGATAAAATCCTGCGACTTGTGACTGCAGGCCGCCCAACAACCTGCCCGCTTGACCCCATCCCCTCCTCTCTTCTCCAGACCATCTCCGGTGACCTTCTCACCTACCTCACCTCGCTGATCAACTCATCCTTGACCGCTGGCTATGTCCCTTCCGTCTTCAAGAGAGCGAGAGTTGCACCCCTTCTCAAAAAACCAACACTCGATCCCACTGATGTCAACAACTACAGACCAGTATCCCTTCTTTCTTTTCTTTCCAAAACTATTGAGCGTGCCGTCTTTAGCCAACTCTCTTGCTATCTCTCTCAGAATGACCTTCTTGATCCAAACCAGTCAGGTTTCAGGACTGGTCATTCAACTGAGACTGCTCTTCTCTGTGTCACGGAGGCTCTCCGCACTGCTAAAGCTAACTCTCTCTCCTCTGCTCTTGTCCTTCTAGACCTGTCTGCTGCCTTTGATACTGTGAACCATCAGATCCTCCTCTCCACCCTCTCCGAGCTGGGCATCTCCGGAGCGGCTCAATCCTAGATTTCCTCCTACCTGACCGGTCGCTCCTACCAAGTGGCGTGGCGAGAAGCTGTCTCCGCACCACGTGCTCTCACCACTGGTGTCCCCC